AAAGCCATAAAAAAGAAAGTGGGTGTGGTAAAATTAATATTAAATTAAATAGAATTCAAAGCTCAAGGCTTTCACTAGGGACAACAGAGATGTTAAAATGATACTTAATAAAAATATACACCAGGCATTATTCTATTTTTTTCTTTTGCTGGGCATTGCTCTAAGATATTTTTATATACTAACTCATATAATCCTTACAATAATTCTATGACTTAGGTAATTTTATTATTGTCACTTTGTGCATGGAGAAACTGAGGACAGAGAAGTTAGGAAAGCAATAGAACCAGGATTTAAACCCAGTATTTATGCTCTCCATTGCTACACTCTACTGAACAAAACGCATGTTAACTTTTGGGGCACCTGGACGGCTCAGTCAGATGAGCCTCCAACTCTTGGTTTCTGCTCAGATGGTGATCTCAGGGCTGTGAGATCAAGCCCCTCAGTGGGCTCCACACTCCATGGGGAGTCTGCTTGGGATTCTCTCTCTCCCTCTGCCCCTCCTCAACCTCTCTGTCATAAATAAATAAATAAATAAATAAATAAATAAATAAATAAATAAATAAATATTAAAAGAAACAAAACAAAACAAAATACGAGGGCACCTGGTGATTCAGTAGGTTAAGCAACTGCCTTCAGCTCAGGTCATGATCCCAGGGTCCTGGGATCAAGCCCCACATAAGGCTCCCTGTTTCCTCCCACTCCTCCTGCTTGTGCTCTTGCTCTCTGTCAAATAAATAAATAAAAACCTTTTAAAAATAAAAAATAAATTAAAAAAACAAAATTTAAAAATGTTAGCTTTTGTTCATCTAACAATAAAAAAGACTATTAGAAATCCAAGGAAAAGTAATAAAACTAAAACTTAAAAAAAAAACTTTAGTGAAGTTTTAATATACCTCTTTTAGTAAGTCAATACATCAAGCAACAGAAGGTAAATATAGGGGTGCCTGGGTGGCACAGTCGGTTAAGCATCACACAAGTTTCAGTTTGGTGATGGTTGCAGGGTCCAGAGATCAAGCCCTGTGGTGAGCTCGACACTCGGGGAAGTCTGCTGAAGATTCTCCCTATACCTCTCTCCTAGCTCCTGCTCAATCACGCACTTCCCCTCTCTCTCTCTTTCTTTCTCTCTCTCAAATAAATGAAAAAGTCCTAAAAAAAAAAATAGGAGGGGGAGGAGGAAGAGAAGAAGAAGAAGAAAATGTCTGGTGGCTTAGTTGGTTAACTGTCTGCCTTTGTTTCAGGTCATGATCCCAGAGACTTGGGATCAAGCCCTGGATTGCAGGCTCTCTGCTCAGTGGGGAGTCTGCTCCTCCCTCTGCCCCTCCTCTCCACTCGTGCTCTCTCTCTGGCTCTCTCTCTCAAAAAAATAAAATCTAGAAAGAAAAGAAAGAAAAAGAAAGAAAGAAAGAAGAGAAAGAAAGAAAGAAAGAGAAGAAAGAGAAGAAAGAAAGAAAGAAAAGAAAGAAAGAAAGAAAGAAAGAAGAAGAAGAAAGAAAGAAAGAAAGAAAAGAATACAGAGGGTTGTTTGGGCAGCCCAGGTGGCTTAGCGGTTTGGTGCCGCCTTCGGCCCAGGGTGTAATCCTCTCAGCTGTAATGAACCACTGGGCGGTGTGCAGTGTGAGCTATTAAAAACAGAGCTGGGGATCCCTGGGTGGCGCAGCAGTTTGGCGCCTGCCTTTGGCCCAGGGCGCGATCCTGGAGACCCGGGATCGAATCCCACGTCGGGCTCCCAGTGCATGGAGCCTGCTTCTCCCTCTGCCTGTGTCTCTGCCTCTCTCTCTCTCTCTGTGTGACTATCATAAATAAATAAATAATTAAAAAAAAACAACAACAACAGAGCTGGCTGTGAAAGCTCACATCCAGTCCTTTGCAAAGGCTTGTACTTTCATTTCTCTTGAGCAAATGCCTACAAGTAAAATATCCGGGTCACGCGCTATGTCTTTATTTAGCATTTTAAGAAACCGCAACACTGTCTTCCACAGTGGAGGTCATCACTCCCACCGCCATCGGGGGTGTGTGAGAGTTCCAGGTGCTCCATATCCTCACCAGCACTTCAATGGTAGAGCCCTCTTTTATGAAGCCATTTTAATGAGTGTAAAACAGTATCTCACAGTGGCTTTAATTTGCATTCCTAGATGTCTAATGATATTGAATATTGTTTCCTGTGCTCACTGGACGTTCACATACCTTTGTTGGATTGTGTGTTCAAAACTTTGACCTATTAAAAAAATTGGGTTGCTTCCTATTTATGGAGTTCCAATTTTGAGCCATGATTTCATTAACGCCGATCAACATCAGGTTGTCCTCTGTTCTAACCCTCACCTGGCCTCCGCCCAGGGGATCTAGAGTAAGCTCCAAACACCAGGGCCTGGTTCCCCACCATCCTTTGCTCAGTCCTTTCTTCCACAAAGGCTCCCTGCAACCCTTTAAACCAGTCAGACATCTATTACTGGGAATCATCTTATTGGGGATTCTCTGGACACATTGTTACCCACTCCCCACAAATTAAGCTGAGGCTTCCTTACATCCTGCCAATGCCAGTCTTTCTAGCCCTGCTGCTGAATAAATGAGTGAGTGAATGAAGGCCTCTTACCCAGTAGGAGAAGCCATCAGAATCTTTTTTGAGGATGATCACATAAAAAAAGAGGTTCATCAGAGAACCAGGTGGAGAAGAGCATTCCAGAAAGCGGGCCCCCGTAGGCCCCGTAGGCCCCTATAGTGGGAAGGGAGCATGGTTTGTTCACGAAACTGTAAGAAGGTCTGCGAGTGGGAGACACAGGGACAGAGGACACCAAGGGGGTATGTTTTTAGTCTCTCTACCAAGACTCCGGGCAAGATGGAAACTCCCAAGGTTTGAGGCCTAAGGGAAATGGAGATGATCATGATGGAGACCTTAAGCCTCCTTCTGGCTGCACGAGGAAGCAGAGCAGCCTCTTAAAGACACCGTCATAGCAGCGCGGGGGGGGGGGGGGGGGGGAGCACTCGGGGACCCAGCGGAGGCCCTGGCGGTGGTGAGACGTGAACAGAAACAAAGAAAACAAAGAAAACTCGAGGGCGAAGATGAGGAGGCCGGACCGCTGGCGCGGGCGGGGGGCGGGGAGGGCGGGCACCCCCGGTCTCGGATCCTGGCGGGAAGGATGGACGGCGGGAGTCTCCGGGTTGAGGGAGCCCAGGGCGCCCGGGCTGCGGGTCCCGAGGCCAGCGGGCGGGGCGGGAGGCGTGGCCCGGGGAGAAGGGGGCGGGCGCCGTGGTCCGAGGCGCAGGAGGCCCCGACGGGGGGGCTCGCCCTGGGGCGCCGAGGCTCCCGGGCCCCGGACACGCGCGGGGACGCGGGCAGGAGGCGGCGCCGCGGCGAGGGCACACCCCGCTCCAGGCGGGCAGACGGGGCCCCGACGGGGCGTTCAGGGGCGGCAGAAAGGCGGCCTCGGGGCGCCGGGCGGGGCTGGGGGCCGGTGCGGGGGGCGCGAGGAGGCGCCGGGCGGCGCGGGGCGGGGGCAGGAGGAGGAGGAAGGCGGGCGGAAGAGGGCGCGGGGCGCGGAGGGGGGCCGCGGCGGGCGGGGCGGGGAGGGGCGGGGCAGGGGGAGGGGGTGCGCCCCGCGCCCCCGCCTCGCCTTCGCCTTCGCCTCCTTCCGCGCGGCCGGCGTTTCCGCTTCCCTCCGGGGCGCGGGCTGAGGGCGCGGGGCGGCGCCGGGCTCCCTGCGGCCGCCGCCATGTGGCCCCCGGACCAGGAGCCCGCCCCGGCCCCCGCCGCCCCGCCGCGCGCCCGCCGCCCCCCCGCCGGCGCCCCGGGGCCCGGGCTCCGCGCCCTCCTGCCCGCGCGCGCCTTCCTCTGCTCGCGCAAAGGCCGCCTCCTGCTGGCCGAGTCGGTGAGTGCGGGCGGGCGCCGTCGGGGCCGAGCGGGGCAGCTCGCGGGCGGCGGGGGCGCGACCCCGGCCCCCCGCTCCCCAACCCCGCGCCGCCCCCCGCCCGCCGACCCCGGCTGCGCCCGGGAGGAGCCGGTGGGCCTGGGCGGCTCTGGGCGCGGGCTGCGGGGCGGGGGCCGGGGGACTGGGAAGGGCCCCGGGTCGGGTGAGGCCGCACGCACGGCGGGGGCGCGAGCAGAGCCCTCCCGGGGGCCGCGGGCCGGGGAACGGGGGCCGGGGGCGGCCCGGCGGTGACTTCATCCCCCTCCGCGGCCCTCCCCGCCGCGATCCCGCCGCCCCGCCCCGCCCCCGCCCCCGCCCCGCCGGCCTCCTGCCCGCAACCCCCACCCCGGCCCGACAGGCCTTTGTCTCGGGGACGCCGCGCGCGGCGGGGCTGGTGCTGGGCCTCGGGCAGGGAGGGGGCGGGCGGGGCGGCGCGGGGGGGCGAGGTGCGGAGGAGCCCTCGGGAGACTCCTAGGCCGTCGTTATTCCCACTTTGCGGACAAGAAGGCTGAGGCCCGGAGCCTGGGGGACTTGACAGGTGGGCCACTCGCGGGCTGGGTGACAGCAAGGGTGAGAGGGGCATCAGAGGAAGGAGGCTTCTGCCCACACCTGCCCTTGGCGCGGGCAGGAGGGGACCTGGCTGCCACTCCTGCCCCTCGGGTCAGCCTGGAGGTCACGGCCCGGCGCCTGCCCAACCCCCAGGTGAGGCCACACTCCGGGGGGTCACCTCTGGTTGGCCGCCCCCGCCCTGCCCAGAGGTTGATGGGAAGCGCTTTTGCAGAGAAGCCTTAAGCCCCAGCGCCCCTCAGCCCACAGGAGTCAGGAATCCAGATCTAGGCGGTCCCACGAGTGGGGGGGGGGAGAACGAGGGGGGGGGAGAACGGCTCAGGGCTGACCCCAGGGGAGCCACGCTGGTCACCCCTGGCTGCTCCAGGCCTGAGAGGGGGAGGCTGACCGGGACAGGAAAGGGGAGGAAGCAGCCACAAGGAGTCAGGGAATGGGGGAGCAGGCGTGGGGGGGCTCCTCAGAATCTGGCTTTGGGGGTGGCAGGCAGGAAGGGGAAGGGCAGCAGAGGGGCCCCTGTGGAGGAGGCACAGCAGGAGCCCGGCGGGGGGCTGGGTCAGGGTCCCACGGCCTGGCTCTCCCTGGAGGCCCCTCTCTGTGCCTCAATTTCCCATCTGTTGAGTTGAACTCAGCTACCCCCGTGGGCTTGTTCAAGACAGATTCGGGTGCCCTGGGGACTCTCTGGGATCTCTGCGGCTCATTTGTCTAAGCAGCCACAGTGTTTCCTGTGGGGCACCCAGGAGTCCCTGCGGGGCCCCCTGAGCCCCCTCAAGCTACTCAGCCACGGTGACAAATCAGGACGCAAGACGGCCCACACTCGGGCAGGGCCACTTGTCAGCCAGCCCTGAGGCCACATGCCTGTCGCCAGGGCGCTGGGCAGCCACTTCACTGCCTGCGCCTCAGCTTCTCGTCTGCCAAGTGGGCCGTGAGCAGCACCTGTGCACAGGTGGCTGCGAGGCCGCCCCGAGCCTCAGCGGGCCCTGGCCAGGGGACAGCCCCCCATCTTGGTCTGTCCTGCCCTGCAGCGGACACCCCCAGGGCCGCAGCATTGTGGGGCATCGGTGCCCACCCACCGAGTGCGGAAGCCGGCCCTTGGGGGGGGCGGGGAGCTGCAGGGCTGCAGGGCTGGGCGAGTAGGCCCAGGGCCTGAAGCCTCAGTGAACACTCCCCTCCCAGGAGGCCTTGTTCCTCCTGGGGAAATTGGCAAACCTGTAGAAAACTCAGAGTTACACTGCTAAGGCCCCAACACCCACCGCCTGGATCGCACAGTTGTGAACATGTTGTCGGATTTGCTTTATCTCACGCATCTGTCTGGGCACCAGGTCGGTTTAGTGTTTGATGCAGGATAAATTGCCCGCACGGGCACCTTGCGACTCCGAACACTTCAGCACGCGTGTCATTAAAGTTCAAAATTCGTAAGCTGTGTTTCAGCTAAAATTCACATTCTTGGGTGTTGGGTGTAATTTGTAGAAACTGGTTCCTGCTCAGGGCGCCGCCTTTGAGACGTTTGATTTGCCCTGTTGGGCCCCATCTGGGTTGGATGGATTCTGCGGAGAGCCTGCTGGGGTGGGGGCTGGGGTGCAGCCTCCTGGGGGGCTGGGCGCATGTGGGGAGCTGGGGCTTGGAGGGGGGTGGCCCCGCATAGGGTCAGGGTGCAGAGCCGTGCCCAGGGGCACCGGGGGCAGCACAGGTGTGAGCCAGGGCCCGGGACAGGGTTCCAATCCTGGCAGTTGCAGGACCTTGGGCGGGTCACCTCCCCTGCTGGCACAGCCTCTGTCCCTGGATGCAGAGCCCTGGGGGCGGGCGTGCGAGGGGTGTGACTTTCCTTCCCTCACCTGCAGGGCCTCTCGTTCATCACCTTTGTCTGCTATGTGGCATCCTCGGCATCCGCCTTCCTGGCAGCGCCTCTGCTGGAGTTCCTCCTGGCCCTCTACTTCCTCTTCGCTGATGCCATGCAGCTGAATGACAAGTGGCAGGGCTTGTGCTGGCCCATGATGGTGAGGCCGCGCCCCGGGCCGGAGGGGGTGGCTGCGCTGGGGCCGTCGCCCTTCAGCGCGGGGGGTACTGTTTGCAGCTGCAGGCGGCGGCTCTCAGCGGCCCTGTGCCCCCCGCAGGCTGCCTCACCTCGCAGCCCCCCTTCCCCGCGCCGGGAGCCCCAGCCGGCGTCCTGGCCCTGGCCACCAGGTGGCGCTGGTGCTCTCAGCCGCGGGCATTCTAGCCCTTTCCACCGGAGCAGGACAGGCTAACCCAGGGCTAGCAGGGCTTAGCCAGACTTCAGCCATCTGGCAACTTGCCTGGTCCCCTGGGAGCCCTCAAAACCCCACCTCAGACTGCTCTGAGGAGGGACAAAAACGCTGCGATTGAACCCTGGTCTCGTGACTTCGTATCCAGTACACGTCCTGATGAGCTGCACTGTGTCCCCGTGTCTGGGGACAGGTGAGCAGAAACCAGGTCACGTAAATGGACCTGCCGCAAGTCTGTGGCACGGCGAGGCCCTTCGGAGAGCCAGCCGGCGGCAGGTGACCCGGTTTTCAACGTCTTTCTCACCAAAAAGGGAGCCCTGCATGTGGGCGAAGCCACAGGCCAAGCTGCAGCCTGGCCCACGTCCTGTTGTCCACCAGACAGGGCACGGCCACTTGGACCGGGCACAGGGCAGCCTCCGGGGACACCCGGGCAGGGGCAGGAACGGGTGGAGAAGGGTCAGGGAGTGCGGTGGGGCCAGGACAGGCCGGGAGCCCGGGGGATGCCAGAGCTGCGGGTCCGGGGAGTGCTCTGCTGTGCCCCAGTCCCGGGAGCCCAGGGCAGTGACCACGCCCCCCCTCCCCAGGACTTCCTGCGCTGTGTCACTGCGGCTCTCATCTACTTCGCCATCTCCATCACGGCTGTCGCCAAGTACTCAGACGCGGCTTCCAAAGCAGCTGGGGTGAGTAGCCCCCCGAGCCCTGGAAGGGGTTGCCCAGCGATGCCCCCTCAAGGTCACCCCACCCCTGGTGGAGCCCCAGATGCCCTTTGGACACTCAGTGTCTGGGGCAGAGTCTGTCCCCGCATAGGCCCTTGGACTTGCACGCAGGTCTCCACAACTGCAGAGTCCCTGAGCAGAGCGTCAGTGGGCCCCGGGTTGGGGGGCTGCTTGCCCACCAAGGCGACAGTGCAGTTTCCTACTTGCCGGTCCTGGGAGGCGGCTGTGCTCGTCCGTCCCGCCTGTTCAGCCGGTCAAGTGGGGCGGCGGCTTCCCTGCCTGTCCCGGGCCCTCGGCCCAGAGACTCCCAGCTCCCCGTGATGGGTGCCATGCGCCCTGTCCCGTCCCACAGGTGTTCGGCTTCTTTGCCACCATCGTGTTTGCCGTTGATTTCTACCTGATCTTTAACGACGTGGCCAAATTCCTCAAAGAAGGGGACTCCGCGGAAGAGAACACGGCCGACAAGGCGGAAGGTGGGTGGCCACCCCGCTTTTTCCCCGGGGACCCGGCTTGCCGACCCAGGGCTGTTGCTGGGGACCCTTCCCCCCGCCCCCAGGGATACTTAGCCAGTTTGAAGCTGGAGGAGCACGTCCTCCCCCAGGAGGGCAGGAAGCGTTGTCCGTCCCTTCACGGGGCACGGATCATGCAGCCAGCTGGCTTCCCGGGGCCTCTGCCTCTCCAGGAAGGGCAAGCTGAGGGCAGGCCTAGCACCTCTTCCTCAGTGGGACCTTCCCGGATGAGCCCCCAAGGCAGCCAGTCGCTGGGCTGCAGAGTGGCCACCTGCCCTGATCTCGTGCCCTGACCCCCCATGACACCTGCCCAGCGTCCTGGGCCCATGGCTCAGGGGCCAGAGAACCAAGCTCCCACCCTTCTCCACGGCGCCAGCAAACTCAGATTTATGAGCCAGCAGAAACCATCCTTCTGCTAAAAATATGAGGCTCCTCTCTCCCCGTCCTGGACTTGGACCAACCCTAGGTTTAACGTCCCTAGACATTTTCCCCAGGCCTTTGTTGCCTGCCTTGCGTTCTTCGAGATAACCAGTCAGCAAGTAGGAAGTGGCAGTGCAGACATGTATTTGAATATTGTGGGCTTTAATATTTGGAGATAGAATTTTTTTTTTTTTTTTTTTGGTGGTAAAATGATTCCTAGCTCATGTGTTAGAATGAATACAGCAAAACCACAAAATCCCACCAGTCTAGCCCTCGGCACAGGGCTAGGGGGTCAGGGTTTATGGAGGCTCTCAGAGCTCACCCGTGACCCCAACAGTATGAGGATTGACTGGGGCTCCAAGAGTCAGGGGTTGGCCAGGGAAGGGGGGTCCCTCCCTGAAAATAGCAGTTGGCACTGCGGCTGGAGCGAGAGGGTTAGCGACTTGAATGCTGTTCCTCCTCCAGAAGGCTCTACAGAGTACTCTGGGGTGCTGGGCTTCGAGGAGCCCTTGAGTCACACCTTAGGTAGGCCCTGAACATCATAAAATGTGTCTGATCACCATATAAAATTAGGATTCAGGCCAAGGGGATTGAAACTCTAAGGTGGCTGAAGAGAGGATTCCTGATTTTCGAGCATATTTGACTTTCTTGTCCCAGAATAATGGCTGTGCCCACTGTGCCCTGCTGAATTGCGGCAGGGTTTGGGGTGTGGATTTGCCACGCTGACACCCCCAGGGGAGAACAGCCCAGGGAGACCTGGGAGAGGCTAGAGCAAGGGCACGTGGGCACCCCTTCTGCGTGGCCGTGCCCTGGAGGTGACGGCGGCTGCCCATGCGGGGTCCCGGCCCGGGGCTCCAGCTGGAAACCCAGCCGGTCTCCCTGGGCACCCGGGCCTAGAAACTCCCGTCAAGCATCCCCTTTGTCTTCCTTCCAGAAGAGAATTCCGACTCTGACTCCGACTGAGGGGCGTCGGAGCCTTCAGCAGTGGGAGCTGCTGGCCACCCGGTGCCAGGCACACGATGCGCTGCTGAACGCGGCACCCGGGGTGTCGTGCACGTCGGGCCACGTGTCCTCGTGTCTGCCACGGACCTGAAGCCTTGTAAGCGCTCTGCCAAAAATAAGCACAAGGGGACAGAGTGGATGGAGCCTGCACCTCCGTCGCAGGGAGCACCCGGGGGGGGGGGGCACGCACTAGAAGCCACCCCGGGCCAACCTGCTGGGCCCCAAGGATTCTCGTTTGCATTTGGTGTCCCACTCGTGCCAGGCACTTTGTCGAGAACCATCCTTCCGAGAGTTCCTTCAGGGAGCACCAGTTCCCGCTTTACTTTGCAACAGGGAGAAAACCGACCTTTGCTCCCACGGCACCCCTAACAGGCGCCTGTCACGCTCCGGAGCCACATCTCGGGGACGGGGCAGCTGTAGGTTGGCTCACCGGGGCGCAGACCCATGTGCCTAACCGTGAACTCGCTGACAGCCTTCTGGGTGGCCCGGCAGGCCCGGCCGCACCCTCTTTCCCCGGGGCCCCCCGGCAGGCAAGGGGCCCGATGTGCCTTCTGTGTGCCCCCAAGGGCGTGTGCTGTGTGTGTATGTTCAACGGGATTTTGTAACTTTATGTAATTTTTTTTTTTTTTTACACAAAAGTAGTTTTTTACATGACACTTTCTGTGACCCAAAAGGCCTCACCTGGCCCTGTGTCTTGGGCATCTGTGACCTTTGTTCGTCTCTTGCATGTAAAAGCCACAGTGGATTAAACCAGACTATGTGCTTGCAGCGTACGTGTCTGAGAACCCTCAGCCCCAGGCGGCGCGCTCCAGGCCTGCGCAGCGCGGCCCTGTCCGCGGGGCGTCCCGACCGCTCCGGTTCAGCGGCCGTGCGCCTTGTGCCACCCAGGCACCCCGAGCGTCTGCCGCACGGGAGCACCCGCTCCTCACAACCCCGTGTCACGGCCCAGGAAACGAACAGAAGGTTCGGGGACTTGCCAGGTCCCCACAGCCCCTGAGGGGCTCGGGAGCCTCTCACTGGGGTGTCAGGATCAGTCCACGGCCCCCCTGAGGCAGCCGGAACCCGGGGCTCTCGTGGTCGGGCGCTGGCCGCACGGGGGCCTCGGGCTTGAAGCCCGGGGGGACGCCGGGGCTCCGTGCAAACGGCCCCGGCGCTCTGCCCCAGCTCTCGTGCACATTCGAAAATCTGCGTGACAGCGGAGTGTGCAGAGGCCGCGGGGTACACGGCGGGGTTCTGCTCCACGCAGCCTGACAGCCCGACCCCGGCGACGGAAGGCAGTGGGGGCCAAGAAGGAGACGATGCCACTTTTACGTGTCCATTTATTAAACAAGAACTCCTTCATGACAATTTAGTACAATATTTATTAGCGATTAGTGTTGAGAAAATTATTTCCCTCTACATACAAAAATACAGATTTGAACACTATGAAAACAATCAGCACAAGTACCATGAAAAATAGGTCCTTCCGAAGAAACGGGCAAAACCGAGGGCAATGTGAGGCTCTGTCTGCTGTCAGGGACAAACCACCAGGGGCAAAGGCTCTGGGGCCCCAGAACTGCTCCACGTGGACAGAGTCCAACCCACGAGCCAGGGTTCGAGAAGCCGGGAGCCCCCCCCCCAGCAGCATAAACCAATGCGTGCCGAGTGGCATCCCTCCGAATGCCCCACAGCTGTGTCCAAACTAGTAAAGGAAATAGACTTTTAAGAAGCAAAATGTCATAGTTGTTAAATTAACGTCGCCCCCCAGAAGTGCCACTGGGCCAAGTACCAGTGAAGAATCACTGCAGTTACCAGCCACCTGACTTGACTTCCTTCGTTAAAATAATTACGTAGTCTGACCCTTCCAAAGGACAAAAGAGAAGCTGTAATATCGTGTTTCAGTAAATCCATTCCTTCACTTTGCAACGGCTCAGCTAGTTTACTCGAGATTTTTCTTGACCAGACAGAACTCGCGTCCTACAGGGGTGGGAAAGCCAAAGGAGCAGCTAGCGGGTTAGCTAGGTCTTGACTTCATGGGGCTCCGCACAGCAGGGCACCTATTTTTGTCCAGGCAGAAAGCCAGAAAGGGCCACCGAGCCCACCGTGGGCCCCATGAGCCGATGTGAGATCTGAGCAGGCCAGCGGGCGGAGGGGGGCGCAGGGCCGGGGGTGGCCTGAGCCGTCCGCAGACGCCAGGCCCAGGACCGCCCTGGCCAGGCCAGGACACCGGGGCTGCGACACGGGGGCTCTGCACCGTCTCCGCCCCAGAGAGGGGAGGTCAGGGCACCGCGGACGTCCACTCTTTTTTATGAAACCACTTTCCTCTTTCTGTTTGAGGTGAGCGGTGGCTCCAAGTGACCAAGTGGTTTAAAAATGCCAAATGCAGTTATACGGATTCATAATTATTTCACAGAAATATACTCTTACTCTCAGACTGTTGAAATAAGCAGAAACAAATCACTGGGGAGAAAGCAGCAGAGAGGAGGCAGGAATAGCCAAGGTGGGTATTGTTTTTTTAATTTTTTCAAAATACGAAAAGAAGTCTAAAAGGGATAATGGCCAAACCTCAAAACCATCATTGCTAAAAGCAATATTAAAAGGACACAATCTAAAATCATGCTACAAAAATAGTGTCATCTGGTTTAACTAAATGTACATCTTTTTTTCAATTCCATGATTGACAAGTGTTTATGTGACTCACGCACAGAAGGCACCGAAGGTGAAGCAATTCTTATTTGTCTTAAAATATACAAAGACAGAATCACCTATTTTGGGGGAAAAAACATACAGTCATACCTGTAATAAATAGTTAAGTGTTTTTGCCACGGGTTCCTGAACCCCTACAAATCTCGACATATACAAATAGTTTCGATCCCTACATTCTTTCAGTGGGAACCATATCAAAATCAAGTTATTAAAAGCACTGGTTTTATCCACATACGTTAGTTTCATCATGAGGCAGGATTTGAAAGCTCATTTTTAAAATGGATTACAGAGTGAAAGCGCTGGAAGTAGGCAGCCCCCGTGCGGGTCGGGGCCAGCATGGAGGTCCATCAGGCCTCCCGCCTGCGTCCTCCCCGGGGGGCCGGCCCTTGGACCAACCAGTTCTCCCTTCAAGCCCTGATTATTTGCCTTTCTCGCTTCTGCAGAGAAGGGAACAGGCTCTCAAAACTTGCAAAACCGATTCTGGAAAAGGCAAGAAAGCAAAATGGCCCACAGAGGGAGGCAGCCGTCAGACTGGCCCTGCCTGGCATGCACATCAGGTCCCCACACTGTCCTCGTGTCCTGGTAAAATGGGGTGCTTCCTACTGGGGTTTCTCAGATTTGACAGGTTCAGACTATTACCAAGTCCCACACAAACCATCACCCGAATCAACCATGTCCTACCTTCTATCCTCTGAGGCACAATTAGGAAAAGAAACTTCCAGCCTCGCCCTGATCCCATCAACAAAGCTGATCAAGGTCCTTTGAGAAGTTCCTACTCTAAATTAGAACCATAAAAGTTCTGATAGCGCACTACAGTCCAGGCTATTAACCCCTTACTGAAGGCGCTCTGGCCTCTGTACGATGCATCCCAAAGAAAACATGCCACTCACAGGTGCCTAGATACGCAGTAACCTGAATTGAAGTCTTGGCATAAAAATGTAGACAACAAGCTAACTCTATGAAAAAGATGTACTGTTCAAGAATCCACAAGCTGAATTTTATTCTAGGCAAGTTGCCATTGATTCAAGCTCAGCGGGCTTGTAGGTAACTTTTTTCTTTACTGTTTAGGAATAAGAAAAACTAGAGAGGGGAGAAAAAATCCCCAAGGTTGAGAAATTAAATCCAAATGAAATAAAAACATTATCCAGACCAGAGAAGGGAAAACACATCAGGACCCATTCCTCTGTTTCCAGTCTAAGAGTATATACATGCCATCTACTGGTGTGAAGAAAAGTCAACCCAGAACATTCCTTTTCAGAAGAAAGTTCCAGATCTAACATATTGAGGGTGTTTTCTGTCAGAGATTGGTTTCTAAATAAAAGCAATGTAGAAGGTCAAATATTTCAAATTACCTTTTCAACCAGACAGTTCTTAACGATCTCAGAAGTATCTGCTGAGAAGAGAAGAAACACGAGATTTTATAAAAAGCCAGGAAGGTTTGCAAAGCTCAAGGAAGGTGGCGTTATGTCTGCGTCTCCCTAAGGTGGCACACGAGTTAATGGCAGTCCCTGGGCAAGAAGCACCTTTTTATTTTGCTAAAGAGAATTAATCGGCAATAGCCTTCAGCCTAGAAAGTGCTGCTGCTGTTTTTTGTTTTTTGTGGTTTTTTTGCCTTTTGCTACCTATTTAATGTCATTATTTTCCTGTATAAGCAAAATATGGAGAAAAAGACAATCAAGCAGTGGTGACACAACCTCATGGTTGCTTGGTTTTGAACACAGAGACACAAGGGGACCACTTAAAACAGCACTGCCTTCCAGAATCGCCAAACTGGCCACACACTGCCTCCACACGCTAATGCCTCCACATCTGTGAGGGCCAGTTTTGAGAACCCACAGAGAATCTTGCACAGCCAGAGATCAGAACTCAGTCCACCTCTTGAACACACGGAAGGGTGAGGAGCTTCTCCTGAAATAGCACAGGAGCGTCTGCAAGAAAAGGTGAGCTGGGGCCACACGGAGGACATGACACACGGAGGCGCTACTCCAGGCTTTGCTGTCAGGAGCACGGATTTGCATACATGTGCAGACGGAGTTACGTGCTTTCTCTCCTCAAGAGACTGCCTGTGGCTTAACCAAAGTCTCAATCACTAAGAAAGCATCAAAGAAAGGCAGGTGAAGCTGCAGGCTTTAGAAGAGTAGACATGTTTTCAACAGAGTCCAAAGCTCTGAGCAGAAGCATCCAACACATTGGATACACTTCACGCCTACCCGTGGGCAAGAGCCTTCGTCCCAGGGGAGTCATGGTGCCCTGAGGACTCGGGGTGCGGTCCGCCTCCCAGAGCCCAGCCCTCAGAGCCAGGCTGGGTCCCAACTGCCTTCCCCAGGGCTGGCCAGGCTCTGCCCAGACTGGCACTTCAGCTCCAGGTGCCCAGGAGGCCTTGGCGCTGGGACTGGACAGGCTAGTACATCCCTCTTTTGCCAGGCGAAAGTAATCTCTTGGACAAGTGTTGCTGCACAGAGTAAAAATCTGAAATAAAATACTTTAAATCAAACTTCTATGAGATTTTAATCTGTGACTGGCTTCATCCTTCCCTGGCTCTCTCTGAGGCCAGCGAGCATCTTTAGGCCCCCATGACTGTAATCTCTCTGTTTGAAAGGGACAGACCTCTCCCTCCATGCCTTCAGCAGTGAGAAAGGAAGATGCAGGAGAATCAGGGGGAAAAAAAAATACCACATCACCCAAATCTGTGCCAAGATCAACTTTCTCTGAAGACGTCAGTGTTTGCATCCATCTAAAACCACTAGAGGTTCCACCAAATGCTTGAGGGTTTCAACCATACAGTCTCCAGGAGCAAATTCCAATTTACACAACGACTGCAGTTCCCATCAAGTTTGGTACCAACTACGAAAGCCAGCATCATCCTACCAGAAAATTGATAAACACTATGACTGCCTCAGCCTTAAAATGCCCCCAAACCAAATGGATGTGATCCATAGTGGAACTATTAAATGTACAAACAAGCTTCCTTCAATTTGAAAAAAAAAAAAAGGTCCTGTTAAGCCCCCACTAAGTCTAGATTGTCTTGTTCGTACACAGAGGCAACACAAGGAAAATGCAAGTGTTGCCACACTCGCCCTAGACAGCCCTCCACGAGTGCTCGCCACCACACTGCCGTGCATCTGCGTCACCCGGATTAGAGAGCTAGAGAACGGGCCTGGCCGCTGCTGGTTGTACTGGGAGCTAATTAAATATACAGAAATATATTTACAAAAACCATGGGGGAGGCTCATGGCACAAAGGATATTAAATAGTTACAGGGACATAAATAATTCCAAAGATTCTAACACTACGATGCAAATTGACTCCGAGTCGCTCTGTGGCACAAAGTGCCATCACTTTTTATCACCTGTAAGCAGTTATAGTTTAGATGGGCTTCAGAACCCTTTCTTGCAGCTTTCAACACATCCTCAGGAGACCAATAGGCCCTTTTTCACCAGATGATAAACTGGTTTTATTGCAGTGACTTGAGAAAACTTGGGCAACAATCCTGCCTGAGTGGTATTCTTTTTTTCAATCTCACTTCAAAGGCGGCTTTTTATTGAGGCCAAGTAACATGATTCCCAGCAGATTTCTGATAAAGTTCAGGGTGGTCCTTCCATGTGGGCCCCACTGAATGCAAGCTGGAGTCTTTGTGACCCTGTTTCTAACTGGAACTCTCAGAGGGAGATGAGCCCATTTTTGACTATGCAGACACACTCAGCAAATGCAAAATAAATACATAAAATGAACAGATATAAAATCTAGATGTCACAATCTCCTCAGAAGTCACTACATACTCTAAGTCTGCGAAGCATGATTAGTGCTGCCTCGCAACACACACGGGAGGGGGCTCAATCGGACCGGTGTGGGAGCAGTGGGGGGAGGGGTGACCACCAGACCTGCGGGGCTCTGCACCTGCAGCCCACCAGCCCGCCGCCCCCGACGCAGACAGGAGCTCACACCTGCCACCAGGGCTGCTGCTCCTGGAAGGAACCACAACAGAATTGAGATGGTACCAGAGGGCTGGTCCAGGGGGCTAAGCCGTCGCCCCAACCCTTCAGACACGGATTCACCCGCCTAGCAGGGCTACCTGCCCTGGGAAATCAGGCGCTCTCTTCCACAAAGCGGGCGATGCCACGCACGGGGGGCCGGATGCTTTCCCAGCCACACTGCGCCCAACACACACTCACGATCTCTGCCCGACAGCGCCCGGCTGCAGCTGCCATCAGCCACCACTAGGCGAGGTCCTGGGGGATCCCTGGGCTGCAGGCTCGTTCCCCCAACAGGACGGGTTTCCTCCCTGGGGACAGCTGAACACAGAATAGCAGAGCGAGAAGGAGGTTTGTAAACATTAACAACAGTTCAGAGAGCGAAAACCCCACAACTTAAAACATTTTTCCCATGACAGACACAATTGGTCTCCCACAGGAAAAATGCAAAGAACAAAAACACTACAGCATCACAGGGGCTCGTTTAACATGTCCACCACATAACCTTCATGTTCTCAAGCTTCCATTCGAAACCTCACAGAACTAGAATCTTTCCCCAAAACTTCCAAGATCCATGTTCATAGCTATGACCCTGAGGCACACAAAAGCTACAATCTGTGCCTCCCGAAACATCAGTGAAAGGATGTGTCGTGGTGGAAATTCAAGTATTTTCAAATCCTGGACAAACCTACTCAGAATCACTTTAGAGCTGTCCTCAGGCATTCAACACTTAGCACACATCCCTAAAGGAGAGGTGTGTCCCGACCTGTGGTCCACGAAGCCAGCAAACGGGCAAGCATTCTGGCTGCTGGAATGGATTGTATTTTTTGTGTGGCTTTTACCTGAGAAGGTAAAATTGCAGGAAGTCTGCAATTTGGCCTCCAAGTAGTAAGGGTGGGTAGAAAGCTGGAAAACAAGGTGGTCCCATACTCCTGGAGGAGAATGTGGGATTCGGGGAGGTGAAGCATTTGAAGAGCCATCGAGTGATTTCTCAGCAGGGTAGGAAACAAAAGGCAACCTTCCCACCTGGCAGCAGTCCTGCCAGGCCGCCCCAAGAGGACAGCAGCTCTTCCCAGCCCCGTAACGTCCAGACCCAGCAAACAGCTCCACCAGCACGCCGGTTGCCAAACACTCAGCATCTCACGGCGCCGGCGTGTCGCAATGCCCCAGGCCTAGAGGACGAGGAGCAGGGGAAAGTCCAGGCAGCAAGACGACACGCCGCCCTGGGGCTCGCAGGGGGCCTGCCCAGCGATCGCTGCTGACTGCTCATTCCTTGCTTTTTTACCCCTCCCGGCAGCTCCCATTAATCCAAATTCTTGACTTGTCACAAAAACACATGACAGGGTGGCTCAGAGTCAGATGTGAAGCCTGTGCTCGGGGACAGTGAAGACCTAGAAGAGACGCGGCAGCCAGGGAGGCCAGCTGCCCCCACAGCCGCCAAATGCTGGGCAATCTGCAGGCCTCTCCCGCCCGCCTGTCTGAACAGCGGGGTACAGGGGGCTCCCTGCCTCACGGACCTGCCACCAGGGCCACTCTGAAAAACTTTCCCAGAATGAACTTTTACCAAAGAGGACAAAATTCAACTTAATCACAGGAAAATCTGACGTGATGAGGGAAAGAAAACTTGGTTGAAAGGATGGGCATGAGGAGAGGGAGGAGGGCTCCGGCAGGTGCTCATGTGTCCAGGCGCTGGATCTCGGGGCGACCGTCCACATCTCTGGACTCTGTGCGTGCTCGGATGTAGTCACTGGCGCTCTGCTGGTGGACACTGACCCTCCACTTCTGCACTGCCAGGAATGTGTTCACCGCATACACCGCGGTTGCCAAGAAGCCAAATATCTACAAAACACAGGCACCAGTTAGTCCTCAGACACGTCAGCTGTCTACAGGGTGTCTGGGCAGGACCTGCCCTGCGCAGCTCACGCTGACCCGAGCTGTGTGCAGCTCTTCCAGCTGTACCACGACGCCAGGCCCACTGATATCTGGCTGTCAGACGATGGCCAAGTGTGTAGTTAAACATGATCCACATAAAGTCCTGCCTGACCTGAAGACAGCCTACGGCTTCTTTTGAAGTGTTCTGGATCTATTAAACACACACAGACACATACAAATCATGGGTTTGCCTCTTTTTCATGGCCACTGGTCCCAGATAAGAAAGCACAACGTAGCCAAAATATTATATAGACAGGGAATGAAGGTCTCATGTGTGAAACCCTAATCAAGCCACGAGGCCTGACGTTCCAAATCATAGCCCCCGAGCTCCCGCCTGCTGCCCGGCTGCCTCTCCCTTGGGCAGCTCCAGGTGGGCAGCTCTGGGGTAAGCAGCAGCAGAAATTTAATGATTTGCTAATGACTGACCGATCTACTGAGTGACACTTGGGAGAACAGCTGGTTTAGTGTTTTTTACAAACCCTTTAAAGTGCCCTTCCCCATCGCAAAAGTGCTACACATTCGTTATAAATACAGAACAATACAGAAATGCAAAACACAGAGAATCAAAGTCTACATGACCTGGTTCCCACCCTACTCCCAAAGGCATTCTTCCTTGAAAAGCAAAAAAAAAAAAAAAAAAAAAAAAATGTCATTTGACTGCTAAATGGTGTCAAGACCGCACTCTTCTTAAGACCCCACACTGACAGGCCCTTAAAAAAAAAAAAAAAACATTGTATTTATTTATTCATGAGGGACGCAGAGAGAGAGGCAGAGACACAGGCAGAGGGAGAAGCAGGCTCCCTACAGGGAGACCGAAGTAGGACTCAATCCCAGGACCCCAGGATCACGCCCTGAGCTGAAGGCAAACGCTCAACCACTGAGCCACCCAGGGGCCCCCAGATAAGGCTCTTAAAAGCAACTGTCAGAGACATCCAGGGCTCTGCTGGAAACAGGCTAAAGGAGTGATTCCCAACTTTAAGTGTGTACCTGAATCACCTGGAAGACTTTTTAAAACATATTTCTTCTGGTTCAGGGGCTCCTGGGCAGGGAAGTTGGTTGAGTGTCCAACTCGGTTTTTGGTTCAGGTCATGATCTCAGGGTTGTGGGATTGAGTCCCACGTCGGGGTCCACACTCAGGGCAGAGTCTGCTTGGGACTCTCTCTCCTTCCACCCCTCCCCACTGTGCTCTCTAAAACAGATAATTAATCTTAAAAAAAAAAAAAAAAAAAAGGAGGGAGGCATATTTCTGATTCAGTAGCTCTGGGGGAGCCTGGGAATGGCATTTCTAACAAGTTCCTCCACGATGTGGAGGCTGCTATTCTGGGGACCACAGTCCGAGAACCACGGCCCTGAAGGAACTGGGCCCGCTACTGGCTCGGTAACAACATCATTAGCAAAGAAAAAGCTGAAGAAGAATGAGCAGGACACACACTAGGGGACAGAGGAGGGTGAGTCAGAGTGTACAAATCAGCCTGTGTTTTAACCAACTGAGTTCACTTACCACGGCAGCAATTTCTGCTCCGGTTTTGTGGTTTAAAGCAGCCAATACAATCGAAGCAATAAAGAAAAAGAAAGTGCTGAGTCCAGTGTTGACCAAATCCTAAAAAAAAAAAAAAAAAAAAAGGTAAAGTCACTTGAAAAGAATTATTTCATGCTTTGCCCTAAAAGCAACTGAAGGATTTTCAAATATGAAGGACAATATCCAGCCTCTCTGATGGCCCCACATTTTAGTCTTGATGCCCAGGGGACTGGACCCATGAAGAAAGGCAAAGATGGTATCAGTGTATGATGCTACTTGGTGTATCACCACAGCAAAATTCACACTTTAACCAACCATGCTGTCGTTTCTAAATTAATTATTATGGAAACCGAAACTGCTAACCCATCAAGGACATGCACATTAATTACCACTTAGGGTTCTACTGTCACCTTTAAGAAATACATTCAAATCACCTTGGCGTGGACAATGCTCCCCAGGAGTCCCGAAACTTGAAACTGGTGAAATCCCCTCCAACATCCCCTTGTTCATGTGTGACATTACAAGCGCACGGTTTTCAGACTTAGAGAACACACTTAGCCCGACCTCATGTTCTTTCTCATGCATGGTCTCTCAAGGATCTATGTGCCTAAAACCTAGAGGATTTTCTCCTTAGCTTTTTGAAAAGCAAATGCAGTCACATATGCAATGCTTCCAATATTTAACTCCTGTCTTAGCTGTTGGGAGGAACGTAGCACAGTGATTAAGTGTCACAGCCTGACTGGGTGCTAGCCAACCATGACTTGGGACAAGTCCAACTTCACTTCTTGGGTCTTACGTGGGAAGAGTACCCCTGCCCACAGAGTTGTTCTCGGGGTCAGGTGGAGCCACCCATGTGAAGAGCTAAGCACTGCACCTGGCTCACAGGTAGGGGTCCCTCTGCATGTTTATTGATGCTTCTGTTATTACCTATTTTTTTTCTTTTTTTTTTTTTATGATAGTCACACAGAGAGAGAGAGAGAGAGGCAGAGAGAGACACAGGCAGAGGGAGAAGCAGGCTCCATGCACTGGGAGCCCGACGTGGGATTCGATCCCGGGTCTCCAGGATCGCGCCCTGGGCCAAAGGCAGGCGCTAAACCGCTGCGCCACCCAGGGATCCCGCTTCTGTTATTACTAATGTGACAATGCACCCTGACTGCCTGGGTCATACCAGGGTCCCTCTGGTATGTATTTCCCTCTACAAGGGAAAACACAATCCCGGTGCAGGCTTCTGCAGGCGCTCATGGAGAAAAGCAAGTACCAACTACAAAGCTCTGACCATAAACGTCTGCCAGCAGGACAGTTTTTAGCTGTGACCAATGGTAAATAAGCAAAGACAAATTTCTCACAAATTCAAACCCAGAAGCATTTAGTTAAAATGCTCAGTCCTGGGTAAGGTGCTGTAGGGATAAAGAAGAATATAAAATGAACTTTCCAAAGACTATTCAGAAATGGGGGAAAATTTTATGACACAGTGCTGAAGCCAAACATCAAACATAATTCTATGTACATTAATGGTGACTACGTAAAAAGATAAATTTGGTCAAGGGCCTGTATGCATCAAAGGTTTTAAAGAGGTTCACGTTGTTTGTCTATGATTTCCACATTTGGAAATTCATCTTAAATATCATACTCGTGCAAAAAGGTTCAAGTATATGAGGATGTTTGTTACAGAACTTAAAATAGGAAAAAAAAAAAAGGTAAGCAAACAAAATGCTCACCAACAGGGGATGTGTTAAATAAAAATGGAATACTATGGGGTCATTTAAAATAATGATGTAGTTGTACATTTAACACGGAATAAACTTAAAATAGTTTAAGTGAAAAAGCATGATTCTAATGGTTCTACAAGGTCCTCCCTCCTCACACATCACAACCTACACGCAGAAGGGAAATCTAGTCTATCTCGTCTGGAAGGTTTCATCAAGTATGACAAGTGGTTACCCCAGTGGGTTGCATCGCTCGAAGGGCTTTTTAACAGCTTTACTGAAATAGAACTCATATGCCTGATAGTACACCCAATTAAAATATACAGTTCAATGACCACGACTTATTTTAGAACATTTTCGGCACTCCCAAAAGAAACTCATTAGCAGTTAATTCTTCATCCTTCCCCTAATCCGAGGCAACTACTAAGCTGCTTTCTGTCTCTCTGCGGATTTTCCTATTCCAGACACTTCATATAAATAGGAGGAGATATTTTGGGGTCTTTTGTGACTGCCTTCTTCCACTCAGTATGAGACTTCTAAGGATCACTCATGTTGGAGCATGTATCGATGCTTCACTCCTTTCTATTACTGTGTCGTATTCCATTGTATGGATGGGCCACATTTTGTTTACCTTTTCATCAGTTTTTGGACTTTCCAGTTCTTTTGAGCAGCTGTATTAGGAGCTTACAAGCTTTTGGGTAGACATATGCTTGGGTAGACTCATTTGTCTTGGATAATCACATGATTTTATTTTGTTCTTTTATTATTATCTGTATCTTCCAGTTTTTCTCTAACAAACATTGCTCTGCTCTGCACAGCTCAAAAGGCTGAAAAGTGGAAGACAGCAGATACTCATCGGCATCACCTACTTGAGCTCCTTGTCCATGAAACAAAAGTCAAGGCTCTTAGGTTCATCATTCACATCATGGGAAACACACACACACATGCCCTCAGGCTGGGCTCTGGGAGTTTTTAGTCAACAATGGTGCTTATTATTATTATTTTCTAACGCTTTACCTGGGACATGTACTCGATCAGCCACATGCTTTCCAGCCTGCCACAGCCGTCCCCGTTCCCTACTGTCTCATACCCGCCACCACTTTATGTTTCCTGTCTGGTCCCTAGAACACCCAAGGCTGCAGCACCTCCTTGTGCTCAGAGATGAGAAGGAAAACCACCCTCACATACACATGCCCACAGGTGTCTCCTTCAGTGTGAAGCCCTGGAACTCCAATAACAGATCAACAGGATGTGGCCTAGAGGGTGCAAACCTGAGGCCGACTGGCCACAGCTAGCCCACAGACAGGTTTGACTTGCACAGCATTCAAAACAAATGTGGACATGCCAACATTTAAATACCAGAAGATTGCACACAAAAAACTAACTTCTTTAAAAAAAAAAAAAAAAGAAAGAAGAAAAGAAAAAAGAAAAGAAAAGAAAAGAAAAGAAAAGAAAAGAAAAGAAAAGAAAAGAAGAAGCTTCTAGATATACTCTTGAAAAGCTGTTCCAAGAACACCCTGAAGCAACTGCACAGTCAGCTGGGGCTGAGGAGGAGAACCACCTGCCCCGTCTCCCCGTCTCCAGTCGTCTTCTTACCTGCCCAGCCCCAGCAGGCCAAGTCCGCAGCCCTGCTCCAGCGCCAGAGAATGGGCCACCCTGCAACGGGCCCCACGAGTGGGGGCCAGTGGGCACCCACACCTCTCTCAAGGCCCAGCTGGACTCTGGCTTTTTCTCTGAACATCCCCCTGCCAGCCCCCTCCAGGCTTCTGCCCTGAGGAATCTCCTGCCTCCGGTCTGTTCTCTGCCAGGCCTCCCACGAACCTGGATCTCACGGAGCACACTTACCAAGGGCAGGCAGCTTGCATTGACCTGCCCTGGGCTTTCAGTTCCCAAGCCCTAGCACACAGCGGGTGTTCAATACAGGTCTGCCAGACTGAGCACAGGTGAGACAGGTAAACAGGTTCAGCCCCGGGCTGTCACTGCAATCGCTCTCAAACCACTGGGGTCTGTGGCTGGCTCTGGTGTCAGCTCTACACATGGATGACAGGGGGGCAGTTCACGGCCACTAGTCCATACCGTGCACGGACTTGTGCTCAAATGGCCCTAGTATCAAAGGGACAATCATACTATGACGGTGGTGCCAAATACCATCCATGGAATCCCTATTGTGCCAACCGTGTGTGTGTCTTTATAGCATCACCAATCCTAACCTGATTATGATCTACAATACATTATAGAGCAGGAGACGTTATTTTGTTTTACTTTTAGGGGTAAGGAAACTGAGTCCCAGAAAAGATGAGCATGGTACGATAAAGATTACGTATTTGGTCTTTGTCCCCAGTTCCTTGGCACTTCCTGAGTGATAGGAGCGTCTTCTGGGATTCATAAGGAACCCCTCTCAACCATGCCTGAGTTTACGCTAATGAAACGACTCCCTGGAGCCCCTGGATAGTTTCAGGGTAGGAGCTGGTTACCGGAAAGTCCAAAACCAACCAGGCTGCTAGAGGGCTGGAACTTTCAGCCCCACCCCCACCAACCCTCAAGGAGAAAAGAGGGGCTAAAAATTGAGTCTAAACGGTTAATGAATTTAATCAGTCGTGCCTACATAATGAAATCCCCCATGAAAACCCCCAAGCAACAGTGCTCATGGAGCTTCCAAGCTGGTGACTACACACCTATGCTGAGAGGGCGCTACACCCTGACTCTGAGGACAGAGGCTCCAGATCGTCGAGACTTTTCTGGATCCTGCCCTATACACACACACCTCTTCCATCTGCTCCTGAGTTGTACCCTTTACAACAAACTGGTAATCACAAGTCGAACACTCTGCTCTCGTTCTAGAAGTTCCTCTAGAGATTTACGAACCTGAGGAGGCAAACCTGCAGTTGGTGCAGATCACCTGGGAGCCCCATTTAGGGCTTGTGGGACCAAGCCCTTCTCCTGGGGGTCTGTGCCAACTACAGTAGTCAGTGTCGGAACAGAGCTGAATTTCTGGACACCTCGTTGGTGTCAGAGAATTAGACAACTACTTGGTATGGGAAAACACAGATGCGATGTCAGAAGAAAAGACATACATTTAGTGTGAAAAGTGGTGTCAGAAAACACTACACCATGAGTCATGGCCGAGGCCTTAGGGCTCTGCATGTGGCCCCTCTGGGTGACCCAAACTGTCCCAACTCAGCACCCAACATGGGTTCTTGATCACGAGAGGTCTGTGGGTTGAGCAGGGGCCACCGAGGCACTAAGAAGGAGCACCGAGGAGGAAGAAGAAAAGCCAGGGACAGTGCGATGTCACGGCAGGCCAGAGTGGAGAGCACGGTGGGAAGGACAGAGCACTCCGTGGCAGTTCGGCTCCCATGTTCAGTGTGGGGAGAGCTGAGGAACAGCTAGGGGATCCAGGAACAGGGACGTCAGGCCTATCTCTTGACCCAGGTGGTAGCTTCACAATCTTGATCATTCTTCAGTCAACTGTACATTTTTTATGACTTTATCTGAATAAGCTATATTTGACAGTAAAAGGTGAGAAAAGAGAGATGGGGAGTCGGGACATAGAGAAGGTCAAGGTCCCTCCTTGTTGGGAAGTTCAGCTAAGCAGTCGTGACGGACTCAGAGAACCGGCTAAGGAGACTGGGAGCCCCTGGTAGGCGTTCAGTGGTTAGCAGGGGCTGGAAGAAGAGAGGGATGGAGTAAGGGAGAAGGCCCAGGGCACTAGCCACGGTAGACATGGGTGGGACACAAGTGTACGAGCCCCTAATACATGGAGAAAACCAAGCACCGCAGGAGGAGTCCCACAGATTCATCAAAAACAAACAAGTGAACCCAGAGCTATCAGAATCTTTCTGCTGGCATCAAATAATGCTTGTATGAAGTATGTACTTTGTATCCTCCTCCTTATTTACCCTTTTCCAGGAGTACTTTTGTCAACATAGGCTCCTGAAATGACCATTTTCCTAACTCTATGCCAATCACATCCTATTTCACTCATTAGTTGGCTCTACTGAGGACAAAATATTCTCACCATGTTGTTAGAGAAACACAACACGGCCAAGGCCAGTCCTCTGTAGCGACTCCATGAGCAATGCCCAGCCCCAAATAACTCACTTTTTCTCTTCTTCAGAGAACAGATGACCTGAGAACCCCTCAGTAAGTACCATCTCCTCAAGTGCATGAACTCACATACGCTTCTGTTGAATAAGCATACACCTTCATCTACCCCAAAAGTGTGGAAATTCTGGAAAGGATCCCAAAGGATTGAAAGTGTTCTCAAGGGACCACATCACACAGGCGTCTGCCCTACCCAACTCCATCCAGAAGAAAAGGACATATGTTAACTTTCCAGTGAAAAAGATGCACTTCAGTATGACCAAATAATGTGGTAGTCAACATGTAGAAAGCCTTTCGTGTTTAGAATAGAAAGATCAGAACTCCAGAAAGCTCACTGAGGAGGTATTTCTGGGGATAAAGGGCTGTATGAATTAATTATTAAGCTGCAGTATGAAGTCTTAACAGATTTATAGCTGTCAAATCAGTAGATAAGACTGAATTAAGGGAGTAAAGCCAAACCTGGCAGTAGTCTGTAGGGGAAACATGTGGTTGATAGGAAACAACGGCCCCTTGCTGGCAGTAATATTAGTATCTCTCAGACTGGCAGCAGCGCACACTGGCTTAAGGTCCCCTTATATACACTGTCTCGTTTCATTCGTAAAACAAGCCTGTAAAATACTATTGACTCTACCAATGGTGGCCTTCAACATGAGGCCCTAAGTGACTGACCTGCCCAGGGTCACACACAGCCCTTAAGAGCCACCTTGCACTTGAACCCAGACAGGTCTGACTCAAAGCCCTCAGTCTTCACCTTCCCGGCAGCCAACTCTATGTCAGGTAGGCCTTCCAACACTTTGCATTTTGGTTGGAGGAAGTCTAGAAGTTGGAGGAAGTTTATGAGGTTCTCCTATGCTGTCAACTCTGTGAGCACTTTTTTAAAAGATTTTATTTTTAAGTAATCTCCACACCTAACGTGGGGCTCGAACACACAACCCCTTAGGTCAAGAGTCACACACTACCAACTGAGCAAGCCAGGTGCCCCGAGAGCATTTTTTTTTCGAGAGCATTTTTTTTAAGGGAAAACACAAACTTTATCTCAAAAATAGTTGAGGTGCTGTGGGGCACCTGGGGAGCAGGTGGGTTGAGTGTCTGGACTCTGGGTTTCAGCACTGGTGGTGATCTCAGGGTCATGAGATCGAGCCCTGAGTCATGCTCTGTGCTCAGCAGAGAGCTCTCTCTCTTTCCCTCCAATCCCCTGACCCTCTCTCTCAAATATATAGTCTTAAAAAAAAAAAAAAAAGAGATGATAAAATCTGTCACAAAACCAAGACAAAACCAACTGAGTTTTCAACTGACATCAGCTTTTCTAGTTCAGCTCTGCTTTTATTTTCCCTCCTAGGAGTTTGAGTAACACACAGAGTATTCCTTCAGGAAGGTCCACTCCTCTCAGTACCACGCCACAGGATCACCACGGGAGTGGCCCCGTCAGGCAAGGTGACCAGCTCCCCCTCCTCCCTGGCTCCAGCACACACGGGCCACACTTTCCATGGTGGGGCACACACCCAGCACTGGGCATCAGGAGAGGAGCATGCTCAAGGGTAGGTGGTCTGCAGCGCCCCCTCTCCTGCCACCCTGCACCCTCTCAGGAGTGGCGGCTCCACGGGGTTCTCCTCCCACAGGCCCGTAAGTGTGAGGCAGCTGACTGTGTTTTCCTGTGACTTCCCTGATTCCCTTCCAGCTCTTGCACATGCTTATTTGTAAAGAAACATCAAGAAAACCGAGCACTATTAAGTTTCCTTTCCCATTTAGCAGGGTAAGGAAAAGTGACACGAGTCCAGAAGAGGGGCCGGGGAGTGACCAGCCCTGAGCTTCCCACGCCCATCTGAGGGGAAGGCTGTCAAAGGGGGTTAAGAACCCAAACCACTGAGAGCACACGTTTCCACTCGGGACTCTGATCAAACCACCGAATCCTCCGTGTCCTCCCAGTTGCTTTGAATGTAATGATAATCCTAGGCTTTGCGAGTCACTGGCATTTTCACTTGTATTTCCAATTCTTCCTTTTTTTTTTTTTTTCAAATTTTTATTTATTTATGATAGAGAGAGAGAGAGAGGCAGAGACACAGGCAGAGGGAGAAGCAGGCTCCATGCACTGGGAGCCCGACGTGGGATTCGATCCCGGGTCTCCAGGATCGCGCCCTGGGCCAAAGGCAGGCGCCAAACTGCTGCGCCACCCAGGGATTCCCCCCCCCCCTTTTTTTTTTCCAATTCTTCCTAAAGAGATACTTTGTAAATGGCTTTTGGGCCCAGGGTGAAAAATATGCAAATATATTAATTTCATTTTCTTTCCAGATTCTGCAAACATCAATATTACCAATCTTCTCAGAGGATCGTAAAATGGAAATAACATCTTCAAAGGGGTCAAAATAATTCTTATATGATGGTTCTCCCACTAGGGAAGATTCAGTTTACTTTATCTTTCATTCAACCCAGCAAAGACATTTAAAATTTCACTGTTGAATTACAATAAACTGAGTATCGGGATGAACCAGCACCAAACAAGATGACGGAGAGATCCCAGCTTCCCTCGGGGCTGAGTGGCACCTAGTCCTTTCAAAGTCAGAGACAGGTGGTGACTTGTACTCACTGTCAGGTTCCAGTTGATCTGGGGGATCCTCATGTGCAGGTTCAGACTGAACAGAATCAGCAAGACTCCAGTTACTACAAATGCACTACAGCTCACGAACTCAAAAAAGTAGAGGCCTTCACACGGGGAGCACTCCATGATGGTCTCTATGCAGATGAACGCAATCAGGGCCAAAATCTAGGAAGAAAATTGGAAACACACATGTGCGTGTATATTTAGTACACATCCGTGGACATATGTGCCTGCCGCGTTTAAATAAAACCCACCACCACCACCATATGTGGCCAGTTTTCCTCCGGGGATGGAAGGATCACTGTCAGGAATATGATCTGATGAAATTCTTATGGAACAACAGGTAGAGGGAGGCCTTAATGAAAGGATCGAATTCCTAACGTGAACACCTACACCCTAGCACAGCCCCCCGACACCGTGCGGGTGCGGGTGCGGCTCAGCCCTCGGGAGGAAACAGACAGGACCAGCTCATGTGTTCAGTTCTTCCTCGGCCACTAGTAAGTGGACACTGCCAACACACGTTTCTAATTTCTAGTCCCTACCACAATTATGCCCAACACTGAGAGGGCAGGGTCCCAACAGCGTCCATCTATGCCATCTGCAGCTACCCTGGTGGTTCGGGCAGGGGGCACGCAGGCTGAGGACTTTGAGACAGGGCTGGGTATAATCCCCTCTTCTCCCAATGACAGGCGCCTAAAAATGAGGTCCACCTAATTAATTCGCGAGCTGTGCTTTTTAAAAGTTATCACTAGACTTGGCCATAAAAAGTCAGAATGGCAGTCTATAAAAACATTGGAAAAAATGACCAATAATGGCACCAATTTGTTTCTAAAGGACCACAGTAACATTCTAGCACTATGTCCCAAGAGATCAGAGGTCACGGTCAAACAGGTATCAATGGAAATTACCAGGTGAGCTTTTAATTTTTTTATTTATTTTTAAAGATTTTATTTATTCATTCATGAGAGACACACAGAGAGAGAGAGAGGCAGAGACACAGGCAGAGGGAGAAGCAGGCCCCAGGTAGGAAGCCCGATGGGGCACTCGATCCCGGGACTCCAGGATCATGCCCTGGGCTGAAGGCGGCGCTAAACCATAGAGCCACCTGCTCTTTTTTTTTTTTTTTTTTTAAGATTTTATTTATTCATTCACCAGGTGAGCTTTAAAAGGAAGATTTCAGGAAAAGGAGGAGGCCCAAAGGCTGAGTTAATGACCCAGCGATCAAAGAAAAGTCAGGTGGTCTTGCACCTAAACCAGATCAACCTTAGGCTCCGGGCCTCTGCTCTAGCACTGGTCTAACCAAACACCTCGCAGCCCACCACATGCAAGCCTGGGCCAGGACATGGGCCAAGCCCCCACTGCAAAGGTCCAGGCAGTGTAGGCAGGTGCTCTGTGGTCCTAGATTTGGCTTTAGAGCCAACACCATCAGCAGCACCAGAGAGCCGGCTAGAAGTGCAGAGTTTCTGCCTCTCCTCCTTGACCTATGGAGTAAGAATGATTGCTTTTTGGTTTTGGGGTTTTCTTTTTGACAAGATCCCCAGATGATGAAAGTGTGGGAAACATACAAGGCACGGGCTGTTCTGTGGCCCTCCTCTGCCTACTGGAGTCCCACGCATGTGCCACTCAATGCCACCTCCTCCCCATGCCTTCCCTGATTGTCTCTCTCCCTGCCAGACATGTTTCCATCCTCTCCCAGGAAAGCTTGTTCATCTGTGATTACATTCTACCCCTTTTTATAATTGTCATTATGCCTCCCTTTGCCTCCTGAACTTTCTGAGGGCAGGGCCAACCCACCCCTCTCCACTCCAGGTACCAAGCAGAGGTACTAGCACACCACCAGCAAACAGGGGGATGGAGAGGGGCCACTAAAAACCCAGACCCACAATTGCTGACATGCTTGGCAGGGTCTCCATGTAAAAGGCACACAGGGCAGGGCAGCTCTGCTCCATCCATTATCAGTACTTCCGCACAGCAATCATAAAAGACACCTCTCCTATCAAAACAAGGTTCACACTTTTATTTTAAGTCAATGCATTAGAGATAGGGGTCTTTAAGCACACACTTTGTGCTTTTCCTAATGGCTCTTGAAATTTTCTATAGAACCAGAGACTTGAATTCTCCATCTGAATTACATGCCTGACTTGCAATCAATTCACAAAGGAGCAGTTCATATAAGGGAAACTCCTAAACTTTTTCTTCCCCTGTAATTGGATATAGTAATCTTGGGCAAGAAATAACACACTGTACTGATGAGTTACAAATGTTTCTGGTATGCTAACTTCAACCATATTTGTGTGGGAAGGTAACACCTACATTCTTAAATATTAAAATGAAAACAGTTTAAGAATATGCAAATCTAATAGGCCTCTCAATACAGCAGTGAACGAAACAAAAATCTGCTCTCTAGCTCATAGTCTAATGAAGGAGAAGCTTTTAAAAATTAAAAGTACAGTATGCTAGGCAGTGTGAAGTGCAAAGGGGGAAAAATCAAAGCAGGGCAGGAGAATGCAATGTAACTAGGGCAAAGGTGTTTGAAATTTTAGGAGTGACATGGAAGGCCTGAGAATGTTCTAGATTTATTACAAAGTTTATTACAGTCTATTACAAAGGACAATCAAGTGAAAGAGAACTTCAACTGCCTCTATTCTGACCTCAGGCTGTAGTCTGAGTTCTTTCAAGCTTATCCCTCAACTCAGGAAAAATACCCTGCAGCAAAGCATGCCCCTGATGGAAACCGAAACTACCCCTTCAAGCAACAGGGACTGCCCAGAGCCAGCGAGACCCCGTGGGGTGACCCCAAGACAATGGTCAACCTGACCTTTATGCCCCAGCTGCTTGTACCTACAACCTTTGGCCCACATTTTCTTTCTCTCTCTTTTTTTTTTTAAGATTTTATGTATTTAAAAATAAAATAAATAAATAAATAAATAAATAAATAAATAAATAAATAAATAAATAATAAAAAAAGATTTTATGTATTTATTCATGAGAGACACAGAGAGAGAGGCAGAGACACAGGCAGAGGATGAAGCAGGCTCCATGCAGGGAGCGGGACTCGATCCCAGGATCCCGGATCACGCCCTGGGCTGAAGGCAGACACTCAACCACTGAGCCATCCAGTCATCCCTGTCCCACATTTTCCTCACATAAACCCAGAAACATTTTCGGTACTTGAGAAATACCTTTGAGATGCCAGTCCTGTCTTGCTGGTGTCAGCCTCACTGAAATAAAGTCCTTTCTAGTTTCACCACCACTCTTTGGATTTTGTCAGTGGTGAGCAGACTAACCTGGTCCGCGGGGAACCCTGGAGCCAGGTGCTCTTGCACCCTGGTTACAAAGGGATATACCTGAACAGCCTATGAAGAGACACAGGAAGCAAGGTCCAAAGGGGCCTCCGACACAGGAGCTTCTGTCCGGGAGTCTGGAACGCACCACCCTCCCCCGCACGGAGATACATTTTGGTTTACCGAACCCGGGCGTTCAAGTTTTTATAGAGCTCAGTCTGTAGCCCCTTCCCCTTCCAGAGATGAGTGGGGTTGAAAGCTCCAACTCTCTGATCACACGGTTGGTTCCCCTGGCAACCAGCCCCCAGCTCTAGTGCTTAGCAAAAGTCCTCTCATTTACACAAACTCCGATGTGGCTGAAAGGACGTTGATGAGAATTATCAAAAGACACCTCTTATCATGGAGGAAATTTCAAGGATTTTAAGAGCTCTGTACCAGAAATGGGATGAAGACCAAATATCTATTTTCTTATTATAAATCACGATATCACAAGTATTCATATGTAAACAGAGATCCAGACAGAGATGCATAAACACCCAACTATACACATACAATAATTTAATCAGTTCCCATTCGATAGGCATTCAGGCGGCTTCTAATATTGCTTCTAATAAGCAGTACACTTTTTTGCCTCCCTTTTGACACAGTCAATATCAAATTTTCCTCCAGCACAGTGAAGGCTGACTAACAATTGTTGCTTAAGTAAAAGCTACCTATTGACCAAAAAGAAGAAAATAAGGGTTCAAAGTTACACTGGAAGCCAACTTCAAGGCAAACAAAGGAACACTCGTAAAACAATCAATGTGATTCATCATATCAGCAAGAGAAAAGCCAAGAACCATATGATCCTCTCATTAGATGCAGAGAAAGCATTTGACAAAACATAGCATCCATTCCTGATCAAAACTCTTCAGAGTGTAGGGATAGAGGGAACTTTCCTAGACATCTTAAAAGCCATCTACGAAAAGCCCACAGCAAATATCATTCTCAATGGGGAAACACTGGGAGCCTTTCCCCTAAGATCAGGAACACGACAGGGATGTCCACTCTCACCACTGCTATTCAACATAGTATTGGAAGTCCTAGCCTCAGCAGACAACAAAAAGACATTAAAGGCATTCAAATTGGCAAAGAAGTCAAACTCTCCCTCTTCGCCGATGACATGATACTCTACATAGAAAACCCAAAAGCCTCCAGCCCAAGATTGCTAGAACTCATACAGCAATTTGGTAGCGTGGCAGGATACAAAATCAATGCCCAGAAATCAATGGCATTTCTATACACTAACAATGAGACTGAAGAAAGACAGATTAAGGAGTCAATCCCATTTACAATTGCACCCAAAAGCATAAGATACCTAGGAATAAACCTAACCAAAGAGGGAAAGGATCTATACCCTAAAAACTATAGAACACTTCTGAAAGAAATTGAGGAAGACACAAAGAGATGGAAAAATATTCCATGCTCATGGATTGGCAGAATTAATATTGTGAAAATGTCAATGTTACCCAGGGCAATCTACACGTTTAATGCAATCCCTATCAAAATACCATGGACTTTCTTCAGAGACTTAGAACAAATTATTTTAAGATTTGTGTGGAATCAGAAAAGACCCCGAATAGCCAGGAGAATTTTAAAAAAGAAAACCATAGCTGGGGGCATCACAATGCCAGATTTCAGGTTGTACTACAAAGCTGTGGTCATCAAGACAGTGTGGTACTGGCACAAAAACAGACACATAGACCAATGGAACAGAATAGAGAACCCAGAAGTGGACCCTGAACTTTATGGTCAACTAATATTCGATAAAGGAGGAAAGACGATCCACTGGAAGAAAGACAGTCTCTTCAATAAATGGTGCTGGGAAAATTGGACATCCAC